ATTCCAGGTATCCTGAGAGGATGGGCAATGGAACTTATTTTATTCCATTTCCTAAACCCAAATAAGACAGAGCAAAATGTCCCTAAGCATTCAACCCCAATCCCAATGAAGACAAAAACGTTTATTTTGTTGTTGTCATACACTCATTAAGTAAAATTTTTTTTTGCTCAAGCAGAACATTAATGTCATCTTGTGCTTCAGCAAAGTATCTCTGGTTAAAACTAGCTAACGTTAAAGTTAGTGAGTCCATGCTAACATACAAACCTAAATAGCTAACTGTTCTCACCTCATGTACAGTGTAAGTCAAAAACACATAAACGAAGGTCTACATTTCAGTGCCTCTACATATTAAACTGGTTAAATGTAAATAAATTTAATCTTACCCGGTACATGAATCCTGGATGTTGTCATCTGTTTGAAGGGGCTCGTTCAGTATAAGGGGTTAATTTTAGCCATTGCCTTGGTGTTTGTTTGTCAGCCTGGCTCTGTAGAGTATAGAGGGCTGTAGTATGATACACATGAGTTAGTCATACACAGCCAGACTTTTGACTGTCAACAAAGTCTGGCCCACTTTGCAGCGTATTCTGACCAAAACCTGTTCAGTTAGTGCCATCTGACCACAAGAATAATGCAAAAAATGGCAGCTTTTCTTGTGTTTTGGAAAAAAATGTTGTTTAAATTTAACTTATTTTATCATGTCATAATAAAAATTAAAAAAAAACATTCTGAGTACACTTAAATTTGTTACAGTTTTAAAGCTACAGTGTTTTGACCTCTTCATGCTTTAGAGACTGTTACTCGGTTTCTGTGTTTTATGTTAATATTGCATTATATTTAGCACATTTTAAGGCAAAGGTATAGTCACATTGCAAGTTACAGATTTTGCCTTGGCTGTATTTTGATCAATGTTCAAGTTAAACCATGCATTCACTTCATTGTCTGTGCAAAAGTTGTAAAATAGGATGACAGAATGACAGGAAGAGAAATTGCATTTAAAAATTGAATTTACTTAATTGAAATGAAAGTAATTCAGCACAGGTGCATTCTGGGTAAAGTGTATATAAACCTTCAAACTTCAAGGTTTTTTAAACTTATATGCAGTATATGTATTCAATATAATTAGTTATTCACAATACATTTAATTTGCATATACACACAGACCCACACACATATTAACATTATATATATATATATATATATATATATATACAGTATATATATCACCTAACTGTTTGTGTGTCAGAAATGTTAATCAAATAATTTATGGAGTTTACATTACATACTGGTAAAAAAATTTATAACCTGAATGCACTGTAAGTCGCTTTGGATAAAAGCGTTTGCTAAATGCATAAATTATATATAGGTATTTTGTCCATGTCTGGTCTGTGGGTGTGCAGTCTGAGTCTACACATGAGCAGGCCATATGCTAGACCATTTCCAGACGCTTTACCTGCATGGCTTTTTTGAAGCTTGAAGCATCTACATAATTATCAAAGCATGTTAACATAAGCGAGACTGAGCAAAAGCAAATTATAAAGGATAAAAAAAAAAACTGTGAGCGAGAGATACCCAATTTGTTCTTATACCTTCTTTCAGGTTGGCCAATTTTCTTGTTTATTTGGATGAATTTATCCCTAGAGTCTCTTACATTAGAGCACGTCTCTTTTCTCGGTTGGGATTGTGCACTTTAGCTTCCTTTTTCCTCAAAGACATTAAAACGACACACCACATAGACAGACTTTTTAGAAAACCTTCCAGTGTTGCTCAGCAACGAGGAAACGGTTCAAAAAATGCAGGTCTGCCGGTCCTTTTCTCTTTTTTTACATTTTCTGAGGACTCGCACACTGACAGATGTAAAACGTTGACCGCTATGAGCGTAAGGCGCACTAAAAGCAGAGTCATGTACTAGATGCTTTCTGTCGTAGAGCTTTAGTGCCTGGCTTCATGTGATATTCATTTCCCTGTCCTGAACTCTGAGGTTTACGGTGTGATGTTGAACAGACCTGCTGACAAAATGCTGCTCGGCGGTTCACGGACCAATGAAAGTCCAGTCCTAGAGAGTTCTGGGTAGGTTTAAACCATCTGTTCGTAAATTAATACTAAGGTAAATGGGCTTTGTAAATACTCATTAGATTGTAACCTGCTACAAATGGTTGCATCAGTTGTTCTTAACTCAATAGTTAATCTTGTGGGTTATAAAAGCTCTGTCAAGTGAAGAGTAATCACTTAATACGACATCTATCTTAATTGATCCAGCAGGCAGCCTAATCTAGTTTATAAACATCAAGTCTTGTAGTATTTCAGAGTACCATTTATATTTGAAACCTATTTGTAACTGTCAAAGGTAATGCAATAATTTTCTACTCAGGATACACAAGAACAGGAAATATGTAAACAATAAATATTTTCCATTGCAGGTTTGGGGAAAGTTTTGTTTTGGAGATCAGCCACTAACAATTCATATAATCCTCCTTGCTTTTAAAACATAAATGAGCCTTAAAAAATGAGCCTATGAAGTGAGTCGCACAAAACGTGAGCTCACTGATAGAATTTGATCGGACTGCCATTTCTGTCTTCTGTTTATATATTCATTATAATTAGTTCACAAATCTAAATATTTATATTTGTGCATTAAAATATGTATTAATTATAAAACATTATATATA